TGAGCATGACCTTCGACTAGCAGTCTTTTGACTATGTGATTCGCATATGTGGCATGGTTCATTGAGCATGATCTCCAACTGGCATGTCTTTATTGACACTGCTTTCCACTTTGCAATGGCTAGTTTGGGCAGTTTGAGGATCTTTGGGATCATGGCATGATTCGTTGTTCCAATGGTTACCCACCTTTTCAAGTGACATGGAACCTCAGTTTCCCTATTGATCTCAATGGCAAATCTTTACCATCCAAATAGATGGCCTTACCTTGATAAGTAAAGCAGCAACCTTACCAAAAACATACCACACCCAATATGTGTGTGTGTGTGTGAGTGTGTGGAAAACAATTTGGTCAATTCAATTTAAAAAAAAAAGGAAACGATATGGTCGACCATAAGGTGGACTGCTATAGGGTCGGCTCTACATCATTTTTTTAGAACCTTAAAAGACATTTTTGTTGGGTTCAAATTCTGCAAAACTCTCTTATAGATCGGCCAAACAAGAACATATCCCCCCAAAAAAAAACAACTAGATAATTATTTTTTTCAAGGAGAGAGAAAATGCAGTGAGCAACAGGCCATCCATTTCTGGAGTTCTAAAATGGTGTTAAATCAAGTCCTTACAGGGCTTTATTGCCGGCCAAATCTTTTACCTATAACATATAGCTGCTTAAAAATTTTGGACAATATCCTGCCTTTACAAATATAAAAGATAAATTAGCAACAATTTGTTTGAACATTTTACGAAATAATAAAATTGTAAGTTTATATTGCCTCCGAAATTTTAAACATGATTCAAAAAAGTCAAAGGATTTCTTTTTAAAATTTGAAGTTGATTTTTAGAGCTACCGCGAGATGCCCTAACAAAAATTAAAGAGGACATATTTGCAATTTAAAATTGCTTCCAAAGTTCAAACATCATTCAGAAAGTCAAAATACCCTTTTTAAATTTGAAATTCATTTTTGGAGGGATTTTGAAATAATAGAAATAGCCTTCTTAAAAGATGTGGACAATATATGGTGAAAAGTTATTTTTGAACATATAGGGGTACTTTATAGTAAAAAATTTAAGAGTCATAAATTATAAGTTCACCACTACGTAGTACACAGGAACACAGACACAAACACACACACATGCACATGCACATGCACATGCACATATTTCTTACTTTTAAAAAATAAAAAAATAAATACTGGTTATTCTAGGAGATACACTTAAAGGTTAATTTAGAATTTCCTACTAGCTTTTTTTACTAGTAAAATGACCTTATTTGTTAAAAAATGTTTATGTATTATATAGGGGAAAGTGTTATCTAAGTCAGGGGATGCATGCAGTCCCCCGATCATCTAAGATCCATTTGAAGATGGATGTTGAGAAAAAGGCTTCCAAAACATACAATGCAAAAAAAAATTGAGAAGAAAACATTCTTTTGAAATTTAATATTTTCTTTTCTTTTCATATTCAAGATCACCATGACCAAGATCAAGAATCTCTTAAAATTTAAAATTTAAAATCCATCTCTAAGATGAACTTTAGTGGGGGAGAGGCACATGCACATGTGAGGCGGGGGACTCATAGCAACCCCATCCATTGTATGGAAGGGTATTTTTACTATTTTAAATCCCTCTAAAAATAACATCAAATTTAAAAAGATTCATTTAAGCTTTTGGATCCTGTTTGAACTTTGAAAGCAAATACTAATTACAAATATGCCTTTTTCTAAAATTTTCAAACAAGTTGTTGCTAATTTGATTTTTAGATTTGCGAGAGCACTTTATGGTTCTTCAAAAATCAATTTGAACTCTAAAAAGATTACTTTAACTTTTTAAGTCATGTTTGAATTTTGGAAGTAATTTGATACTACAAATGCCCCTAAACTCAAATTTTCACAAAAGTTCTCTCTAATGTATTTTTAAAAATTGTAGGACTATTTGCTGGTCCCTCATCAAAAAGAGTATTTTATGCTCGAAAAATGGAGCAAGTAACTTCAAATTCAGTATTCGAGTGGTGAAACCTAGAATAACCCATTAAATATTAGCTTAATCATATATGCATGGAAACTTTATTGATTAGGCACTCTATAAGGATCTATATACCTTTCATATCCCTTAATTAATCAGCAAACCTTTTAATCATAAATAAACATAAGAAGTGTCATATGCCTTTTTGTTTGGAGAAAGCTTACTTTAATAACATATACAAAAGTTGAATCATATGCTTTCTGTACAGTGTTTCAAAAGCTTTCTGTATAGTGTTTCAAAAAGCGCCAGGTGGCTCCTAGGCGATCGGGGGCGTCCAGGCTGCCCAGTGCCTGGGTGGGCGCCCATGCGAGCGCCCAAAAACTGGGCGGCCCAGTAGAAATATTTTTTTTTTTGGTTTTCTCTCTCTAAAATAGCTTCTAATGGGCTTTAGGTTTCAAATGAACCTAAAACCCACAATTTGGCCGCTTTAGTATTAAAACAATGACCCAAAAATACCCTCAAGGAGCTGCAATTCTGCCCCTGGGTGGGGCGCAGGCCTTGGGCAGCCGCCTAGGCGGGTTCATGCAGGCGCCCAGGGAAATCTGCCTAGGCGGCCGCCCAGGTGCTGGGCGGTCTGCTTTTTGAAACAATGTTTCTGTAAAACAAAAATTAATAATAATAATAATTAACAATAGCCTATCTTTCACACACATGCAAGGAATACCATGCTTATTAAGATTCAATAAAGAGAAATCCAAGCCTAAATCCCCACATCCATCTTGATTAGGATTCTCAAATAGCACTAAATATATTAGCATCGGGGCCTTCTATGTAATCAGAAAGTACAACTTGATACGACTTTTGTTCCAATGGTTATAATCAAACCAATTGAAATGAAAAGATACACCTACAAAAGCATGGCAGACAAACAAACATCAAAAGAAATTTAGTGCATGTTAATTTTGCATTTCAAATCAAGTGTGTTCATCACAAGTTCGTTTGGGACAAATTTATTTCAAAACAAATGTTATCTTGAAGCTTGTTAAGCGTCTCTTATGATCAAACGATGACTAAGTCATTTAAAACTAGTTTTGGGTATTTGATGCCAAAACAACTATCATTTTCAAATTGTTTTGGGTACTTGCACGGCCCACCTCAATGTTTGTGCACCTCCTTATGTGCCAATGATAGACAACCCACCCCCATGAAGGCCAATGGTTGTTCAGAACATGTAATTCCCTTTTAAGATATTATATGAACCTCCATTATTAGAGAGATAAAAGCGATACACTCTGAAGTTCATTTCTGTCAATTTGTTGGAGTTGAAGAAAGGATTCCTCACTTTGTTTCATTGCTCAGTTATGTTCAAAGTGGAACCGACATCATCCAAGTTCAAATGTCCATAGAGATTCCTCATCCAAATTTTGAATTGAGATTTTGATAGAAGGTAAATCGGTCGGCATTGTATTCTCCACAAGAATCTTTAAGCATGCAAATCAAATAAGAGCTTTGTGGATATACTCCTTTAGAAACTTGATTGCATCTTGGTAATCCAAGTCAGGGCATTTAATACCTTAAAAACAGCAAGAGCATCTCGTGCTCTCCAGGTCCAACTATTGAAGCATAAGATTGCCTTTATTTTGGAAGAAGTTCAAACTCTAGGCCCAATTTGGAACCTTGTGCTCCTCGCTGTCTTAGGTAGTGGATGAGGGTTCTACAATTTACACGGCTGTCAGGAAATCTACACTTTTCACCATGGATAATATAACTATCAGTGCCGCTCTTAAGGTGATACACATTCTGCAGTTAAGGTGATACATGTTCTGCAGTTAGAAGATAATAGTTGTGTAGTTAAGGTGATACCTGACAGTCAAGAGAGACCCCTTAGATTTGGTTTTCAAGGACCCAAAAGCCAACAGTATAAAATTGCATTGAGGATTAAACGTGTCCATGTCATGAGCAGCTTCTTTCAACATCTTCTACCAAATTACTATTAGGAAAAATCCTGCTCAACCCCTGCCTTTCCAGGCTGGATATAAACTAAAAACAAAAATGGGAGGTGAGAAATTAAACTTTAGAAGGAACCATATGAGTTCATTGATGTCCTATGAAATATCCCTAAATTGCTCATACATGTTGCATTGCAGAAATACGAACCCCTAGAAAGGACTGACTCCAAGAGCAATTACACTTTTGAACTTAATAAAAGACTCATATTCTACAAATATTTATATGACCCTAGCATGGTGTACCCATTTTATAACTATCACAGAATAACAGCTTCTATGGAATTCACGGCATTGGCATCAAGAAATATAAAGTTGAAGCTTTCTAATCTCGAACCCAATGGGAAGGCCAAAAATTCAAGAACAAAAAATAGAGATTAATATTTTAGTCGGTGGTGCTAAATGTCTTGAGCCATTTGACAAACAGAATAATCTCCTAGGTTTCTTTCACAAATTCTTTCTTTATTCTCTAAGCGTGGTTTCTTTCACCAATTCACTAAAAGATAACAACAATACTTCATAGCCACAAAATCTTTTGTGGGTTTATAAGATTTAACTCAGCACAAGATTTCTATTGGGTGAACTTGACAATGTCTTGTGAAACAAATGCATCGCGCAACGATTAAATAGAACCTTAATAACAACCATCCAGGACTTCTCTAAAAAGAGTATAGTACAGAGGAATCAAGCCCTGAAAAAGAGTATAGTACAGAGGAATCAACCCCTGAAAGAGTTTATCCCTTGAAATTGTCCAACATTTAGAAAATATGGATTTTCACTTTTTCTGACCTTGATGTTGCAAATATCATAGAAAAAATTCCAAAACATTCACATACAAATTTATATTCCTACCTACAAGAGAAGCTAAAAAAAAGAAAATTTTGACAAGTGTAAATGGTCAGCATATTCTCGCCTTCAAAAAAACACAATTTATCAAAATCTCACAAAGAAGAAAGAAAATAAAGAAGAAAATCCATGGCACATGTTGAGATGAATCTCATTGTCTGTAAAAGAAAAATAAAACCAAAATAAAATTACCCTGTTTTGATCAATAACATCTACGATCACAACAAGCCTGCCGTAGTCTTTGCCATAGTTAACCAGAGCCACGCTTCCAATTTCCACATATCTTTTGAAAGGCTGAACATCGATGCACAGAGAGAAAATTGAGAAACTTCATCGTTAGAGAGAGAAAGACAACCGGAAAAAAATGTAAGTAGCTTGTAACGTGTAAGGTAAATATCCACAAAAAGCAAATGAAAAGTAGAGAAATGCAGTTTAGTTCGAGAGAGAGAAAGACTCAACCATGGCTGGAGAGAGGAGCCGAGCTCTGGTTCAGAGTGTCCAATGATTTAGGGTTCGTGATATATACACAGAATTTGGCGAAACTTCGGCGATGGACGAGCGTTATGGAGAAACTTAATGTTCCACTTAACAACACTGTTCTCAAAGTAATGAAAGGAATAATAGTACATGAGAAAGTCGGGAACTTTCCCCTAGATTCGCTGTTATCAAACGCCCCCTAAATGCTCTTAAAATTCGTCGAAACCACAATAACATGTGCTCAGAGGGTAATGGCCGTAAATCAATGGGTTTGACGACGATGAAGGGGGAGTGGAAAGTATAATTAACTTAATGGTACGTTTGGTTCGGGTGAAAAAATTCTTTCATACGATAAGTGTACACCAATTGACAACTAATTAATGTAAAAATATTTCTAGAAAATATTTTCATATAAAAATATTTCCACATAAAAATATTTCCACATGAGAAAATTTATTTATGTGAAAATATTTTCATGCGAACCAAACATGCCATAAATGATAGTGCTGGCCGTATTCCATCTACAACGTCATGAGGCCGGGATGACCACATTGTCCCATTATCACAACAATCATAACTGTTTATTCTTATTTCTAATAAACTAGGTTAGACACATTTTCATTAGGATAAGTATATAATGAGACCGTTTACTTTTACTTTCATACAATATAGTCACAATTAATTCTAACTATTGGATGTGAAATCGGATGGCTGCATTCACTCTATTGACCAAGCTTAAAATTTAAAAGAATTTTTTTTGAACTTTGTAACACACCCAAACTATTAGATGTGTCACGTTGGATGGCTACAAGTAATTGTGACAGTTTTGTACCAAAGATAAATGGTCTCATTTTATACAATCCCTTATTATTAGAATATTATCGATTAGGAATTCAATCAAGATATTATCGTGTTTGTATTTCTAATTTGAAATTTATTGAATAATTAATATATTTTTTAATATTGTTAATTAATATATGATTTATTTCAAAATAAAAGAATCTATGAGTTCAAATTATACACAATAAATATATTTAAATACAAATGGTAAAGTTGAAATAATTTATAATGTATACCAAATTAAAAATATCAAAATTTGTATTCCAATTTAATAGCTATAATTATATATTCATTATCAAGCCCATGTAAGTTGCTCCCGGATTTCCTAAATGATATTTTCAGAGCTAATTTTTTTGGCCATATTTATGGGTGCGTTTTGTATAGAGCTACAATCAAAGTAAAGCGCACATTCAAATAGTATCAAAAAATGTGGTTTCAATACTGAAAATCTTTGTGATAGCCTTAAAATATATATTCATCTCTAACTATAAAATTGAAAGCTTAAAAAATAATGTAGATCTAGCAGATATATAAAAACTTGAAAATTGACGATCCAAAAATGTATTACAAGATGTACTATTTCCAAAACTTAAAATCTATTTTTTTTCTCATGTCCATGTATCTTGCTGCCGAGATGGTTAATTTGAGAATATTTGGGCATCAAAACAATATCTTCTTAAACTTTTGAGGTGGGCTCTAATTTGATTGTTTAGAGTTATATAAACTATTTCTTTTATTGTATCTTTTATCTTTTATATAAACGATTGAATCGGCCGGTTTACCGATTGAACCGGTTAAATCACTTCCAGGACCACGTCCGGTTAACCATTCTGGTTCCATTTTGTGAACACTAAAGATATCCCAATTATGGAAAACTGGTGTTTTAAAACCAATTGATCTAGATTGCAAATCACATATTGATTCCCAAAAGGTGTTGATACTACCACAGTACCTTCTCATCTAATGTTTTATTAGGCCCTCCAATAAAACCCTTTTCCCCATAAAACCTATTTTACTTTATATTTTTAAAATTTTTTGGATCACTGATTGGCACTGATCTGATTAGTGATCCAGCACAAATCTACGGGGTGGACAATCTACCCACCAATCCATGATTTGAAACATTTTGGGAAATTATTATTTGACAAATTGAGCGTCACCATTGAAATCCAATTTACCAAACTAGCCGAAAAACTGATTCCTAGTGAGGCTCAACCTCTACAATTTTCTCATTTGGGTCAAGTAATAATGAAGAGACCCTAAAATAAGTTGTTACTAATATCGATATTTGTCAATCCCCATAAAAGGGATTGGTTGTCATCAATTTTGATCTCTAAACCTTTCTCAATCCCTCTTAGGATATGTTTGCTGAGGAAGCTATTTTACTGGAGAATCTCCGAGAAAAAGGGGATGAGAAGCTTCTTGTGTTTTCCTACTTTCTTGAGAAATCTTCAACACCCCAATTGGGATGCGCTGCAATGCAATTTTCCCCAAAAAGGAAAAACAGATAAATGTGGGCCTCGTGTTACCACTCTTTTTCCCATTCCCAAGAAGGGGAATGGGAAAATATGTTGTTTTCTCCTTGTTTTTTCAATTACCAAACATGCCATTAATTAGTTTCTAGCTTTTTCTAACCCTTATCTCATCGTTTTTAGTTGTTTTTCTCTTTCTCAAGCTTAAGATTAGTGTTTTTTATTTCGTTTAGTGGCATGATGATGTGAATAAACGGTTCAAAAACTAGAAAGAAAGGAAGATACGTCCTTTTTGAGTTAAGGGCTAATGACAAAATATTATAAGTTCAGCAGTTTGTAATAAGGTGTCAATCTTAAATAATCAATATAAGGCATCTTGATAAAAGATGCAGTTTCAGTATCGGAAAGCCTTATAATGGCTAAAAATGTGTTTCACTCCCAATTATTAAATTTAAAGTTCCAAAAATAGTATATATCTAGCAGATCAATAGAAACTAAAATTTTTGAAAATTTGCGGTCTAAAAAATGTGTTATAAGATTTATTAGGGCTTGAAATCTTTTCTCCTTTATATTTCTATGTCTCGAGGTCTAGATGATCAATTGTAAGGTTTCTTGATGTTAGAACATGCTCTATAGGTGGATTTTGGAGGTGCACTTTACTTCTACAATACAATGTTGATACCTTATATAAATTTTTCCTAATGAAATAGAGCATTTCTGCTGTGGATGATCGTAGTCGTTGGATGAAGGAGAGAAGCCATTGAATGAGTTATGGTTTTGAGCGTGGAATTAGTGTTTTTTTTTTCGTACTCTTGTAATGACTCCCAATAATAAAAAGTTGTTAGAACGAATACTCTATTGAAAACAACGAGGAAATAGAGGGTACATGCCATTTTGAGAGGGCAATCATCCTAGAGAAACACTCTTGAAGCTCAAGTTCATTCCCCTTGTAAAAGGACACACACTAATATAGCATTATCCAATACTCTAAAGTAATCCTGCAATTACTCTTAGTCTATTCATCACCACCTTAATTCTAAAAAACTACTACCTATTTATTGAATTTCAATTATTGATAAACTTTTCAAATTCAACATTATGAGGAAACTCTCTCACCCTCTTATTGAATTTCAAGATTAGGCCAACTTTCAAAGGAAACTCCTAAAACTCCTACTTATTGAATATCAATCATTTTAAGATAGTTTCAAAAGTTTCATTGTATTCCATTGCCTTTAGGCAAACCTTGTCCTTAAGGTTGGAAGTTCGGGAAATTTGAAATTGCAGTGTTGGTCGTCCTCATCCCAAAGGGCTATTGTGTGTAGGAGCTCCAATTAAAAAGTCTCCAATCATATCGGAAAACCCACTTTGCTTGGCAACATTGGGTCATTATTTTATGCTCTTAAAGTCGAGCAAAGTCAATAGCCTCCAACATTGTTTTATGATTAAACATACACCATGTTTGATTTCTTCCTTAGAACCATTGACAAAATAACTAATACTAAAAAAAACATCAGTAAGCCTTGTGGTACGATTCACTAACTTGTTAAATTGAGTTTGATATTCATAAGAGTAATGATCCTATGAGACCCTCCCACATCTATTTGTGTAAGACCTCAAAAGATCACCATTCAATTTTACACAGATATCTAGAAAAGTTATCACATGGGTATGAGACTTGACTTTTTTAGAGATATGTGCTCAATTTAATGATGATCCTTTAAGGTCTTACACACATGGGTGTGAGAGGGTCTTACAAGGTCATTTGCCTATTCATAAATAGTGGAAGTCTATTGTAGATTAGTGAAAGTTTTGGTGAAGTCCTCAAATTGGCTAGGGCCAAACCTCGTACAAAGAGCAATGACGAAGTCTTGCCAAGTTGGATAGCCATTAGTCCTTTCGTACCATTGGTACCATTATACTGCGTCATGCTCAAAGTAAAAGATGTTAAGCTGACTTTTTTGTTCTTCTGTAATTTGGTTAAAGGTAAAGAACTACTCCGTAGGATACACCCAACTTAGTCGGTCCTCCCCCTAAAATCATAGGAAGTTGATGCCCGAAAAACATATCAGGAATGGTAGATCGTTGTTGGTAGAAGTATGATATGGGCTTCCCAGTGACCCATATTGCTAATGGGGTGATTTGAAGGTTGGGAAGTCTTCTTACAACTCCAAAAAGAAGGTCGATAGTTGGTTATACTTTTTAACTATGGCTGCTATAAAAGCTCAGATCTCTCGCAACGTGCATGATTGTTCCATGGGAATTTCTCCAATTTGATTCATCTCTTATTCTACTTATTCTAGCTTTCGTACTTCTTATGATTTGATTCCCTCAGTTGAAGAAAAGGGCCAAGGGATATCTCTAATACCAATTGTAACAACTACTAAGAAAAAGAAAGCTATAGATCAAATATTCTATTGAAACCGGTTTTCAAAATATACTAATTCCGGTTTTCAAAATCAAGAAAAAAAAATTCTCTCTCTTTCATTCAAAAAATCTAGGAAAATATTCTCTCTCTCTCTCTAGTTTATTTATCTAATTTAAACTCCATCTATTTATTTATCTCCACATATAAATGCATTAGATGTCCTTAAAGATGTATATAATCATCTAATCTTAATCATATTACTGGTTTGAGTTGACAACAATATCACACACTAATTGTGGTTTGATATATATATATTTTGTATAAGTTTATTACATTGCACTTGACTCACTCTTAATTTTGTAGTGAGCTGAAACTAATACCACACATTAACTATGACCTGACAACTACAAGTATCATAATGTTACAATATTCACGGCTGACTTGC